AAATTTTTTTTTTCTGCGACTAATACAATTTTGGTAATATGCATATAAACAGCCTTTTAATTAGCAGAGTAGAATAATCATGGCTGATAGTAAGACATGCAAACATAAAAGAAAACCAAACTGGACGCGAGAACAGCTATAGGCCTATATTAAGGGTACCTATAATCAAAAATTTGGAGTTGGGATAACCTCCAAACCAAAGCCGTTACCTTTTTAAAAGCTCATTATCGTCAAATGTTTCTAAAATGTTTATATTCCGAGGTAGATTGCTGGCAACAGCCATTTTAGGATAGTTCAGATTTGGTCTTAGTGACTTAGCAGTCCTCTTCACTACTCCTAACGTTTCACAGATTTAGGAGCTAGTTTTAGCGCTAAAACGGTTTGTGAAATACTCTTAGAAGATTTAGGAGCTAGTTTTAGCGCTAAAACGGTTTGTGAAATACTCTTAGAACAAAGATTTAGGAGTCCTAAATTTAGGACTGACACGCCCATTATTTTTAAGATTTTCTCCTAAATCAGCAAGTTATGTGCTACTTTTAGCCTGAAGATGTTTTGTGAATACGGGCCCTGATTTACTCCGAACCGTTTACGTTTGCGTATGACACAACAGACTGATTATGTGATACTCCACACGGTGTGCATTTGACCGTTTAAGCAATAAGCTGTGAAAGAGAGCTTCCCCCCACCCACTAAAGTAAAACATTATATTGCGTCCCTCACAGAGTCCAAAGAAATTATGCTTGATCACAGTGTCTCTTGTGACGTATGAGTGTGACGATTAAACTGAAACTGAAAGAGCGTGTTGATCATGAGACAGTGCACAGGACCGGTTTAACAGATGTGGTTTCTTGAGAGGTTTCATATTCTGATTTAGCTGATGATTTTAAATCTGCATACTGTCATCAAACCACACAAAGTCACAGCCATGCAGACATGTGATGCATGAAGGCTTGCATGCAGGTGTGAATGAGTCGGTTTGGTTAATTAACATCAAACTGTTCAGTGATTTAAAAAAAACATTTGAATATTAGTGGAAATTAAATGACACTGAAGAATCTTTACTGTAGAAAATCCCAGTTCACATACTCACCTGTAATGTTTGCATGCCAAATGAAAATTAGCTTTAGTTTATCGTCTAATAATGAGGGTCCTGGAGGAATCGCTTATCCTAATTCAAAATGATTCTTACTGTTCAAAACCGATAATAAACAAAAAAATAAAATACAAAAGATTCTGGCCAAGAAATCTGGTTCCATTTATTTCTTTTCAGTTTGAAGTACATTAAATAATTTCATATTTCAATAAACAAGAACAAACCATGCTAAACGATGCAGCAAAGTCAGCCTCATTTGGCACTAAAATATCGGCCCATACAGTTTGTCACAGAAAAAAAGGCTTGAAGTGCTTAAAGTAACAAAGCTGAACTACTGCGCTCCTCTGACATGAACCAGCGCACACAAAGACAAGTCTATTTCTACATTTGCTCTGATGTGTTTGGCCTCAGAAAGAGTGGCTGTGAACTTCAAATGGAGTATACAGGCGTTTCTGGACCTCGAGTGTGTGAACAAATTCATGAATGAAGCCGACAACACACACACACACACACACCACTGACAGGCAAACATCACTGGATAAATGGATAAAACACAATCAACCACAGTTCTGGCTTGTTATGCGTCTTCATGCGTTTCAGCGATGGGTTATGGGTTCATTCAGAGTTAGCATCCCGTGTCCCACCTCCACAGTCGACCCGGTCCACCAGCGCCGTCTCACAGCTCCTCCTCAGGGTTTCTTCCAGCTGTTGGCGCAGCACCTGAAGCGAGTCCAGTTCTGTGTGCAGCGCGCTAGTCTTCTCAGCACTGCTAACGACACGGACGGGTCAGAACAGAACCACTCATTCTGTGTGAAGCCACAGCTTTCAATGCACTTCAGCTCTTAAAGGAAGGGTTCAGACACTTACTCGCCCTCGTGTCGTCGTATAGGTGACCTACCTTCCTCTGTGTGGAGCACAAAAACATGTTTTTAATCAAAAGTAACTGCTTCCAGCGTGACTCGTGACGCAGCAGGTGTGAGATTTGAAAGCTTCAGCAGAGACGGATGTTTTCAGTCTGTTCCTCACACAAAGCATTCCATAAGTTCAGAAGACTTCGAATACAGTGCATCATATGGATCACTATTATGATGTTTTTGCTATTTGGCACCGTTTTTGTCATTTTGAGTGAGACAGACCTCTGTTCTTGGGTGGGTTTACATGCACTTTAAAACTTCCGTTTCAACCGGACATCATATTTAATCCTTCAACTATTTAATTATACATCGGGTCACTTAAGACTGCAGCACGAATACATAAATCTGCAGTAGCTCTTTTGAGATCCACAGAAGAAACGAAGTCGTACAGATCTGGAGCGGCACGACGGCGAGTAAATGACAGAATTTTCCTGAACTCCTCCTTTAACTCATGTGTTCCTAAATGAAGATGGCACAAATTCAACAGCATATTCACCCATACACAGATGGACATCATGAGTGACGGACTTTAACACAGTGTGTGTGAGAATGAGCTGAGCTTGAGTTCTGACCTTCTCTCCTGAGACTGGATGCGTCTGAGCTTCTGATAAACCTTCTTCTCTGCTCTCAGAGCTTCATTCAGCGCCTGCTGCTCCGACACGAGCTGCTGCAGGACACACTGACACGCACACGCACGCACGCACACACACAAGGACAGAAAAACATTTAGTTCAGAGTTTCTCAAACTTTTTGACTCCTAATACCCCTATTGTCTGCGATATTTCAAAGCCCCAGGACTTTGCAAGCTGATTGTGATTTAGTGAATAAGGACTAAAAACATTTTACTGTTTTAGAGTTGAGAATAACTAGAAAAATGTATATTCATAAAATGTATAAAAATATCCATGGAGTCATTATCCTGATGCCGGGTTCACACCGCATGACTTTAGCTCCGATTTTCACTCTCTGATAGTTTTATGGATATCGCTGACAAACGCCTGAAATCAGAGTCAAATCGGTGCTCGTTCACAATCGTGTGTGTGTGTTATTTAGGGTGTGTGTTATCAAAGCCGCGATCTGAGAGAAGCACCGATGTGTCGCCGATGCGTGAGATATTTGTCATGCTAAATATCTGGACCTGTCAGCAACTCAGTCCTGCAGTGTGACATGACATCAGTGACGACCTGCAGCCAATCAGAGAGCAAATACAGGGCAAGGGCAAGTTCAGGGGGAGGAGTCATAGAACATCAGCAAGCAACCATTCTCTCCTTCCAATGCTTGTTTTTTTCACTGCAAAGCAGTATACAGACAACTTGGACTGCAAGCTTTTTGCGGGCTACCATTTTTGACAGGAATAAATCCTCTCTCGCCTGATCTTATGTTATTTTCCTTATCAGTTCTCACATGTGTTTGGTTGTGAAACATAGTTTGTAAATGAGGCAGAGTGGTCGGCGATGCTTCTATTGAAAAGTTGTGTAGTGTGTGACTCCACCAATCCATCCTGCAGTTACAACATGGTTAGATAAGTGCAATTTTGCATGATTTGAAATCTGCATGATTAGATGTGTGTGTGTGTGTGTGAGAGAGAGAGAGAGTGTGTGTGTGAGAGAGAGAGAGAGTGTGTGTGTGTGTGAGTGAGAGAGAGTGTGTGTGTGTGTGAGTGAGAGAGAGTGTGTGTGTGTGTGAGTGAGAGAGAGTGTGTGTGTGTGTGAGTGAGAGAGAGTGTGTGTGTGTGTGAGTGAGAGAGAGTGTGTGTGTGTGTGAGTGAGAGAGAGTGTGTGTGTGTGTGAGTGAGAGAGAGTGTGTG